CACCACACGTATAAGCAGGAGGCTACAGGGCATTTAAGATTGCCACTCCTTCTTCTTACTCTAGATCGTGTGGTTGAGATCATTTATAAGAATTCACCTTCTGAAATTATATTTCATTCGTAATAAGACAATGCCTACATCCGGAAAGAAGGTTGGAAAGAGAGATAGTTGTGGAATAGCTGAGTCAGAGGAATCGGATTTTTGTATGATGCCTACAATAAGTAAATATGAGATCTTTAGCGGATCATAGGTGTATTGAAAAGTGTAAGCTTCCTGATAAGAAGCCTTAAGACAAGAATGTCTATCCATCTTTATGGTAAAGTACAATGAGAGATTAATAAGATAAGTACAAGTTTCAGCAAGTAAAAGGAGCAAGGTGAAAAAAGGGTACGAGGTACCCAGTTAATGAAGGTTAACAACGCTTATAATTGAGGCAGAGCAACATAAGCTTTTTGAGTTATATTCAATAATAGCAGAGGTATATACAATTGGTTGCACCCCTTCCAGATATTCCCTATGGGGGTTAACAAAAGTAGTATAAGAAGATATGATGGATGAATCGATTGTGTCAGTTGACATTTCCGAAGGATATTGCAAATGTGCTAATAGATCTCTTTATGAGACACCTAGATGGTGCACTCTGAAATAATGCAGCCAGATATGAGTACTACAAGGACATGCACTATAAATCTTGAAGGGATAAATATTACCTTAGTGTGGCTCGCGTCCCTAGTAAAGCGAGAATGTTAAGAAACTTGAAGAGCCATTGGATAGAGCAAAGGGAAGCTAAGAGCAAAAGAATGTCTTGTTCAAGTTTTCAGAATAAAGTGATAGGCATAAATGCTAGCGGGAAATAAGAAAAGTGTTAATAAAGCATTATGAGTAAGATGTGATACATGGATGACAACGGTATATCAAAAGATGACAATATTACAAAAACCTATAGTCAAGTGAAGGAAGAAACGAGAAGTGATAGGCCTTAGGACAACAAAAGAGTATAGGCCATACAATCATGTCCTCATTTCAAGAAATAAATTTGCAACTCTAGCATGATTACCAAGAGGAAAGGTTAGACACCGGAGTAATAGAACCGGTATGGATTGGTGAACAAGATAAACTAAATATGAATTTGGGACTGAGTGATTTGATAATAGTCAGCATCATGAGAATTTCAGATCGCGTTCTGGCAATAATAGGACGGACAACAGAAGAAGATTCATAAGAAATACAGAGAATGGTCATTTAGGAAGACACTTCCCTAAAACAAGCAATGTTAGAAAAGTTAAGCTTAAGGGACTGTATGTACCAGTTACATTAAGTGTCACCCTCGCAAGTAAGGGAATTTGTTATCCTTGGTACAGAAGGATTGCCACAAGGCGAGTAAGAGTCATCGATGATGTGAAAGGATGCCAAAGATGAAAAGGTGAAACATCTATAGGCAGGCCGTTATAGCTCCAACTCGTAGTACTCCCTTAAAAGGGGGGAATATGGAAGTATAAATTCCGTTCAAGAATTTCACAGAAACAGATTCGTTCAGATAATTTTAGGGACTGGTACGTTAAGGCTATCCCTTCTTTCTTTTGGCATGATCCATACGATACGAACGAAACGTGCAAATGCACAAATTCCATGAATGACTATATTCATAGAAGTATTAGAGATATCTATGTTCTTGAATTTTCATGTGTCATAATATTTTATCATCTGTTCATGGGTTTCAGAAAAAAAATACAAAAGTTGAGAAGAGTTTACTTTATGATATTGCTCAAAGACAAAATGATCTTATGAAATTCCAAAAGATTTTATTAACGTACTTTTCATGCATTTCATACATGTGCATTGACACATGAACATATGGCGTTATATACACATATATATGTAAATATATGTATATGGGATATGGGAAAAGGATACGACGTTATATACGCACCAGCACCTGATCAGCTGGTATATGATGATGATGTTACCCACAATGGCTGAAATATGATTCAAATGGCGTTATATACGCGTATATATGTATATATATGGGATATGGGAAAGGTTATGACATTATATATGCACCACCACCTGATCAGCTGGTATACAATGATAATTTTGCCCACAATGGCCGATATGATATGATGGGATGCCCTCAAAGGCTGATGATATTATGATACATGTACCTATGCACGACATGACACTCATACGCATATGCATGACGCTAAAAGTAATTTATGATTTACAAAATTATTCAGACTTACAGGTTGAGTCACGTACTCTATATTTCTTTCATGTCTCTTATGTATTTATTTATGTACCTTACATACTCGGTATATTATTCGTACTGACGTTCCTTTTACCTGGAGATGCTGCGTTTCATGCCCGCAGGTCCAGATAGACAGGTCGAGAGCCCTCCAAGTAGGCTATCAGCTCAGCGGAAGATGTTGGTGCGCTCCATTTGCTTCGGAGTTGCGTGTTTGGTTAGTATGATTTAGACTTGTATTGTGTGGTATAGCGGGACTCTGTCCCGACCTTTATGACATTTATGTACTCTTAGAGGCTTGTAGACATATGTCGTGTACATGAAAGATTGTGTGGCCTTGTCGGCCTATGTTTCGTGTTTATAAAAGATCATGTTGGCCTATTAGACCCATATGTCACGTGTATATGATGATGTAATAAGAAAGATACGTTACGTTGGTACTCGGTTGAGTAAGGTACCGGGTGCCCGTCGCGGCTCATCGGTTTGGGTCGTGACATGATCATCCTCAATTCTTATCTTTGACTCGTACCGATTGTGAATATCCACCCATGTTGTTGCTTGGAACTCGAACAAATTTTCTTTCAATTTCCAGGAAGTATCAAAACTTCTCGGATTCAGCCCTTTAGTAAATGCTTCAGCTGCCCATTCGTCTTGTACGGCCGAGAGCAGCATCTTTTCTTTCTAGAATGTGGTCATGAGCTCCCGTAGCAGTTCAGACTCTCCTTGTACGATCCTGAATATGTCGGTCTTTCAGGCTTGTACCTTTCTGACCCCAGCATGGTCTTTGATAAAAAAAATCCGCGAGCATCTCGAAGGAATCTATTGAGTGCTCGGGTAAGAGAGAGTACCATGTCAGGGCCCCCTTCATGAGGGTCTCCCCAAATTTTTTCAGTAAAACTGACTCAATCTCGTGTGGAGCTAAATCGGTCCCCTTCACTGTTGTTGTATAGGTGGTGATATACTCATTAGGATCCAAAGTCCCATCATCCGGCACGTTTGGCATCTTGAATCGCTTCGGGATCAACTCTGGTGCCACGCTTTATTTGAATGGAAACTAGGTTTATTTCTTTGAGTCTGGTCCTTTCAACACTGGTGGTGCGTCCATAATTTGATCCATTCAGCGTTAATTTACCTAATGAACTGCATGGGTTCGGTTTTAAAAGGATCATTCTCATTGTTGTTACCTGATCCGCTACCGTTTCCCCCGTTTCCGTCCCTGCCAAAGCCAACTTCACCCCTCGGGGTGTTGTTGTCGACCCTCTCCATTGTTTGGTTTGCGGGAGCACCGAGAGGAACTAGACCTCGTCCATTCGTGTTGTTGAAAGCACCCGATAACGCCTGCCTCAACTTCGTCATGACTTGTTGTTGCTCCCCCAAGATCATGACCGTTTTAGCGATGTGCTCTTCTTCGACAACATCGGGAGTTTCCTCTCAAACATGTTGTGGATATTACCTGCCATGGACTAGCGTAGCCTCATCACCCGTGTTGCGGGTATCACTGATGGAATCTTCGTGCTAAGACTTATTTTCTTGGGCCTCCACGTTGTGTGCGATGTTGACATCGTTATCTGCCATTTTTTATGACTTTTGCTAAGAACAAAGAATCAAACAGGTTAGTAATAGATGCAAGAATCAACTCAATTACACAACTGTATAAGCTCTACGGTAGACGCCAAACTATTTACCTGTAAAATAGTACAGTTGAATTTATACGTGGTTTATAGACAAGTGAGTCGATTTGATCCCACAACGATAAATAAACTAAATAAGAATGTAAGACTTAGCGTTAAAATCGAGATAAGACAATAGAAATCCTGGTTCCGAGAGCAGAGCTTCCGGATGCAATTGTAACAATATTAATAAGAAAGAAGATATAATATTATTGAACTTTGAACAATGTATAGTATGAGCTTATCCGAAAATTCCTCCCCTACAATGGTTGTTGAGCTCATTATTTGTAGTTGCACCTAAGGAACAAGGTTCTAGGATCAAACCCCTCTTGAATGTCAATTATGGGGCCATTGAAGAATGTAAAACGTCAGGCTATGAATGTCATATTCTCTTCAACAGACTATGTACTTAATGCCATAGAATATTCATCATTAAATATTACCGGGTGGCATGCATTTGTTTTGTCTTTATGAGCAATATTCCCTTCGGAAACAAACGAGATTGTTGTCCTCGAATTTTATTGCTATTTGTCTCGTTCTCCATCTGCTTTCGGCTCCATGTGTCGCTTTATTACGCGAGTATTTAATACGAACATATTTTACGCTATACAATAATAAATACTTATATTGTATTCATTTGATTTAATGTAAATATCGGGCGCGAGTAATTAAGTTTTTAGTAATAATAATTACGAATTATCACGCAGTGAACGAATAAAATGGAGAACATTAGTAGTTTCTCTTATTCATATTGACATCCACTCTAGAGGATGCTTCTATGAACTGCTAAAAATTTAATAAATATCTTTTCACTTTATATGTATTTATTTTCATATTGTTTATATGCATATTCTTATTTTATATTCCCACATAAAATATAGATTAAATTTTCGCATAACATAGTGCGAGCACTATTTGATACCGCTTACCAAATGTTGCATGTTACGCCAAAATTAATTTTTTATACGACCAATTAAACAATGCATCGCTTGTGCGAATATTATTTTTTATTCCTCCAACAAAAATTTGTACACCTACTACGGTATTATTTTATGTTGAGATTATTTTTGACAACTTCTCCAACCAAACTTCATCGAAACCACCAAACCGACTGGACAAGAAAGTTCCTTCCTTTCTACTACTAATAATCAATCAGGATTTTGTAGTGGCCAAGAAAGAATGGCACTTCCTCACGTGCTCATTTTCCCCTTACCTATTCAAGGTCCTGTGAATTGCATGCTAAAACTAGCTGAGCTCTTCTGCCTTCATCACCAAGAAATTCATGTCACTTTTCTCAACTCTGAGCATATTCAGCAACGCCTGCTGAATTGCACGGATGTTCAAATCCGCTTCAAGAAATACCCGAACTTCAAATTTATGACAATTCCGGATGGACTAGCAGAAGATAATCCAAGAACTGGAGATCAAGTAAGAAATCTGGTGAAAGGTGTAGAAGATGTGAGCAGCCCACTGTTGAGAGAGATGGTAACTTCTGGTTTACTAAGTCCAAATTCTGAGAAGCCAGTTACTTGTCTTTTGGTTGATGGAATTGTTACCTTTGCTGTTGATATTGCCAAAGAGGTTGGGATCCCACTTCTTTATTTTGATACTATTAGTCCTTGTGCTCTTTGGACTTGCTTATGCGTTCCAAAACTCATTGAAGCTGGGGAAATTCCTTTCAAAGGTCAGTTATTAAGCTTTATTGGGTTTCATTCAAAGGCGGATCCAGGAATTTAACTTTATGAGTTCAAGATTTAGAACTCTAGCACATACCTCAAATTACTATACAATAACAACCAAACGAAATACGAACAATATATATATATATATAGCAAGTATCGAACCATCTAACATATTATATATTCAATAAATATCACCATTACAATTGTACCCTACGGGTTGTCATGCTTTGAAAACGATCAATAATCGCATCATTAAGTATAGTTTCAAATACTCCATCTTCTATATAACAAACTAAACAGTCATTCAAAAATTCATCACCAATTCTGCTACGCAAGTCATTTTTGATGTACTTCATTGAAGAAAAAGCTCTTTCTACCGTTGCAGTAGCGACAGGCAATATCAGATTTAACTTCACAAGCAAAAAAATAAGTCTCCAAGTCTTGTACAAATCTGTTTCAACTAGTGTTTCTGAAAGATCTCCAAGTCCTTTCAAGTTAGAGAAATCGTTGTCTTCTTTCACAAAGAGAATATAGTTGTCAAGCTCGTAACTGAGATCTTCAAGCTTTGAACCACTAAACTCGTGAGGATAAAGTGTAGCAAGTTTCATAATTCTTTCTTTATCATAATTTGCAAAAGAATTATCCGGACTCAAACTAGCCATACCAAGAAGTAGATTACTATTCACCGCATCAAAACGACTGTTTAGCTCTGAAAGTTGCAAATCAATAACAGTATTAAAAACTTCGACACGCAAATGATGAGAATATGTAACACTTGAACTCCTACGCTTTGACTTTCCAGGATGATAGTTCTTATCCATTTCAGGGATCACAATATCATGCTTGGCACAAAATGAAGAGGCATCATTTATCAAAGATTCCCATTTAGATTCTCTCATTCCTTTCAATTGCCTCTTGGCGAAACCAACAAGCTTCATAGCATTTACAATATCCTGGTCTTTTCTTTGCAAAGCCATATTCAAATCATTTGTAATTGCCAATAATTTTAACATCAAGTGCATCATATGCACAATCTCAAAAGATCTTATGTCATTCGCTAAACTTTTTGCCACTGATCTCTCTAGATAATTTGCATCCTCACTTGCAAGAAACTCAAGTACATTAATAATATACGAGAATAATGTAATAAAGTTACGCACTATCTTAAAATGAGAACCCCATCGAGTATCACCTGGCCTTTGGAGTCCAAGTTCTTGATTTAGTCCACTTCCTGTATGAACTTCACCAAGCACTTGTAGCTCCTCTAATTTTTTTGCCTGATCCTCTCGAAGCATATCCCTACGCTTAAAAGAACTTCCAACAATATTCAAGACATTAACAACAATATCAAAAAATTGATCTACATCACAATGTTTTTTAGCAACGGCTACAAGAGTCAATTGCAATTGATGGGCAAAGCAATGTATACAATATGCCGAAGGATTATCTTTCAGAATTAAAGTTTTAAGACCATTGATTTCTCCTTGCATGTTACTAGCTCCATCATAACCTTGTCCCCGTATTTGAGATGGACTCAATGAGTGCTCTAAAAGCAAATCATAGATTGCTTTTTGTAATGACGATGAAGTTGTTTTTTTAACATGAACAATACTAAGGAATCGCTCAATAAGTTTTCCCTCTTTGTTGACATACCGCAGAACAAGAGCCATTTGTTCCTTATGAGAGACGTCCTTAGATTCATCAACCAAAATTCCAAAATAATCTCCATTTAAATCTTCAACTATTGCTTTAATTATTTCTTTCGCACAAGCATTCACGATCTCTTTTTGGATATTTGGAGCAATCATCATGTTATTTTGTGGAGCACTTTGTAGCACAACCTTTTTCACTTCATCATCCCTATCTGCATACCATTGTAAGAGTTCTACAAAGTTTCCTCTTTTAGTAGAAGTTTCACCTTCATCGTGGCCCCGGAAAGACATTCCTTGTTTTAAAAGAAATCTTGCCACATCAATCGAAGCATTCAACCGAACTCGATAATCACTTTTAATTTTTTCAGACTGCTTATCAAAAGAGGTTAGAATTGATTGTTCTTGATTAATTAAGTCTCTCATCATCTTAAAACACCAATTGTGAAGACTATTTACCTCTCCAATATGTGCGTTAAATCTTTATATAGCTTTATTCCAAGCTCCAAAACCACTCTTTGTGAAAGAATCCCCAACTTTTCCATGTCCTCCATGCTCATTTTTAAACAAGTAACAACATAAGCAAAATGCTGCATCAACTTTAACATTATATCCTAACCATCCAGAGTATGAAGTGTTAAACCATTCAAGATTAAATTGACGCATAAATCCACCAAAATCTCTTTTTGGAAATCTACAATTACAAGGTTGACAAGGCCCTTGTTGAATATAATGTCTCCTCACTTGATCACGTAAATTCGGAGGATACTCTGAAATTTGCTTTCTTTCTGCAGGATCGGGTTCAAGATTCAAATTCAACATTTTCTCTTTGTTTAATCTTGCCGAAGGATTGATATTGTCATGAATAGTTGGACTTGGAGAAGAACTCGGTGTAGGAGGACTAGAACCAGAACTAGAAGTTTGAGGAGCTGGAATAGCCTTGAAAAATTTCGTAATCATATCCACCCTCACTAAAAAGATCCTACAACTACAAAAATACAAAAAACAAATTACACTCCAGCAGAGGTACTTTAATCTTGTTAGATTGAATGGAAGGAGCTAACTAGTTATCCAAACAAACATAAATAATTGCTAGACATGAAACTTAATGACAAAACTCAAAAGGGTTACTTTTTAAATATTCAAGAATCAAGAATGGGTGTTCAAGAACCAAGAACAGAGGCGGATCCTTTAACTTATAATTAATAAATATTGCATTATTATTCAGAAAGAGCCATAGAGTCATACCAACAAAATAAAGAGAATTGATTGCAGTTTATGTCCAAGAAGAAGAGCCTTTGCTTTGATGCTTTTGAAACCCTAACTTTAAAAATTTGGGAAAGAAGAACCTTCTAAAAAGTGGAACTTTTTGATCTCTTAAAGCTTTGTGAAGACCAAGAAAATAAGAAAGAAGCCTCAACTTTTTATAATTATTAAAAAGCCCCACAAAAAGTATACAATAAAGAATAATGGAGTATTAATTAGATGGGTCCTCATCTTTTAAGGATAAGAAACGGGCCTCTTCAAATGGAAAGGGGCAAAAGAAATCCAAATGTAACAAAGAAGTCAAACAGTAACTTAAATAAAAATGCAATAAAAATTGTAGACATAGAGATTCGAACTCCAGTCCTCGCTGGAATAAGCAGCACTCTGCCAGCACTTTTACCACTGAACCCATAGCCTAATTTAGTGTATGGGTTCAAACAATAATATATGACCATATTTCAGTAATTTTGCCCAATATATTCCCGGGTTCTGTCGAAAGTTATGGGTTCAATTGAACCCNTATATATATATATATATATATATATATATATACTCTCAGTTCCAGTTTACGCAAATCTATTTCCTTTTTGGTCCGTTCCAAAAAGAATGATCTTTTTTAAATTTGAAAAGAATTTAGCTTAAACTTCCTATTCAACCTTTAACGAGAAATTTTTATAACCACACAAATACTTTTGTCCTTTTTTAACTTATTTAGCACAATAAATTTCAAAAGTTTTAATTTTTTTTAAATTTCGTGTTCAATCAAACAAGTTCATGTAAATTGATCAAACAAGGAAGTAATATATAGGAAAATACAATTTCAAAAACGTTTTGACTTGTTCTTTGTCAAAGACCTTGAATTTTAATTGCTTACTGCTTTTTCCACTATATATTTGAATTATCCAAAGTTAATTAGTGTTATAGAGATTTATCGAAGACTCTTTTCATGTCCGAGGTCTCCGATTGTGCAAAAGCTAAATTCTGCTCCAGTACCACTTTGTCTTTTTAATTTTATTATCTATGTAAAAGAATAAACATAAGGAATTTCACGGTTATATAGATTGTGAGATATAGACAATTTAACACATATTTGACATAATTACAGGATCATGGAAATTAATGATTTTCACAAAATATTATATAACATAATATTTGTTTGTGTAAACATAATCGAACCCCTCTTGAGGTGTTTCCAAGGGCCGATGTTATCGAAACCCTTGGAATTTTCGAGGGCTGAATTTATCGAAGCCCTTTGTATTTTGTCCTTACCGAGGGTAGCCTGATTTAACCAATTTTTACAAAGTGTTTGAAGGCCTTTTAATTTATAGCGAAAGTCGGACATCTCCGAGCCACATTATTTGGCCGTAGCCTATATATGACTATAGTCTTTTGTATGGTCGTAGCCTTTGGGTATGTCACTTAGACTTGTTCCCCGATAACTTCTCGAACTTGTTCGAGAAGTTAAAACCCCGAGAATATTGGCCTTGGCCTTTGTTTCGAAGGGTGCCTATTTGAGGTCTTGTTAATTCTAATTTCGGTTGCTTCTTTGAGGTCTTATTAATTTGAATTTCGATGGCAATCCCCCAGTTTTCGGGGGTGCTTCTATGTTTTGGCTTTTAAGCCATTTTCTGTAGGATTGTAAGTGTAGAGCTTGTATGAGACACAAAGTATTTTTGATATAACCTGAATGTTTCTTCAAATAGTCGATACATGCGTACATGTTTAGCTGTCGGGGCTCAACTATTCTATTGGGATACGACTCGTTTGACTATTTGGCCCATTACAAAGTTTTTCTATCGAGGCCCATTTAGCCGTGAAATATTTTTCCAAAAATGTAATCTCCGAGGGTGATGCCCCCAGTATTCAAGGTTGATTGAAAAGAATCCTTGAAAACTTGTTGGTCGTTCCTCGGGTAGCATATAAGTGTTGCCTCGTTAAAAGACTTGCTGGTAAAACCCATTTGGGATAAAATCCGAGCTAAGGGAAAAGGAGTGCAACGTATGCTCTATAATCTATGGCCTTTGAGTAGGAAGGGGCGTTCTCGAGAGCACGAGCCTTTGAGAGCCTCCATTGTGTCGAACCTGTAAGTTCTTTTACCAATGACTCCGAGGTCTTGTTGTTCGTGACCATGATATCTCTGAGGATCTTGGCCTGGTTGGGGATGACCTCAGTGCCCTGATTTGACGCTGCGACGGCCGAGAAGCTCAGTTGCCCCAACTCCGAGGGAACATCTTTTTGGAGTGAGCTTCGTGTCGTATTGTCCCGAAACATTGACCATTTCCTACAAATGAATTAAAGTGGTCCTCTGCGCACAGGAACTTAACCAGTCATATCATCAATATAAGTTTTAATTATTTTACCTGTTTATCCATCGAGCGGAATCATTGTCATATCGAAACAATGTGATCTATATCATTAACAAAAAAACTAAATGAGTTTTTTCCTGAGAGCGGGGACTACTTCCTGCTCTCAGGTGTACCTTTTCTTTCAGCGGTTGGCTTGGTAGCATCGGTCTTTCCAGGAACAGCGATGGTTCGAGGATCTGGAGAATTCATGTCTTTGCCTCCGATTACCTGTTATTCTGCTTCCGTTGAGGCTCGGAGCTGTGACTACAAGTTTACCACCTACTTAACTTTGGAGGTCGATGTCTCCGAGGTCAAGGGTTCCGGTATCGGCACCACTTACTCGACTGCAAACATTTCTTTTGTAGCATGCTGTTCTCCGTGGACTATTTTTACTCCTTCCCCTGTCGGGAACTTCATCATTGGATGGAGAGTCGAAGGCACTGCCCTCATATTGTGTATCCACGGCCTCCCGAGGAGTGCGTTATACGTCATGTCATCTTCGATGACATGGAATCTGGTGTCTTGTATGGTCCCGACTATGTTTATAGGCAAGATAATTTCTCCCTTCGTTGTTTCACTTGCCATGTTGAAGCCATTCAGCACCCGGGATGCAGGTACAATCTGATCTTGCAAATCGAGTTGTTTCACGACCCTCGATCTGATTATGTTCGCCGAGCTACCTGGATCCATTAAAGCACATTTAACTTGAATTTTATTCTAAAGGATAGAAATTACCAGGGCGTCGTTGTGAGGCTGGGATACGTCTTCTGCTTCCTTGTCGCAAAATGATCGGGTGTCCTCGGGAACATAGCTCCGAGTCCGTTTTTCATTTGTGATGGACACTTTAGTGCGTTTGAATGTAGGTCCCCGTGGGACGTCGGCTCCTCCGATGATCATGTGAATGACATGTTGGGGTTTTTCAGGTTCATTCTTCCTATTTGGATCTCTTTCCCGTAAATGGTTTTTGGCTCGGTCACTGAGAAATTCACGAAGGTGCCCTTCGTTGAATAGTTGAGCTACCTCCTCTCCGAGTTGTTTGCAATCCTCGGTCTTATGCTTGTGAGTGCCATGGTACTTACACATTAAGTCGGGGTTTCTCTAAGAAGGATCTGTCTATATGGGCTTAGGCCATCTAGTATCTTTAATTTTGCCAATGGCTGAGACGATATTTGAGGCGTCGACACTGAAGTTGTATTCTGATAACTTGGGGGCCTTCACTGGCCCCGAGCGCCTGTCTAACCTGATTTTGCCCACGAATCCTCGGGAGCTTTGGCCTTGATCTATTCTTCGATCATTCCGAGGTGCACCGTGCCTTGAAATGTTCCTTCTGTCTTCGACGTACGGTTTGATATCTTTCTTTGCTGAATCTTGATCCCCGGTCTGTGTCCCTCTGGGTTTGACTGCGAATCTGTTCGGGTGAACTAAGCCCGAGAGAGCTCCCAACTGGTCATCCTCGACCCTAATTGTCTACTGATATCGATTATGCACATCCGACCATGTCATAGCTAGATACTCGATCAAGTTTTGCTTTAGCTGTCGAGATACTATCGAGCTCCTTCCATTCAAACCTTGCATGAAGGCCTGAACCGCCCAGTCATCGGAGACCGGGGGTAATTCCATCCTTTCCATCTAAAACCGTGACACGAACTCCCTTAGCATTTCGTCGTCCCTCTGCCTTATCTTGAATACATCCGATTTTCTTGTGGCCACATTTATAGCCCCGGCGTGTGCTTTTACAAAGGCGTCCGCCAACATAGCAAACGAATCAATAGATTTAGGAGCTAAGTTGTGATACCAGATCATAGCTCCTTTTGATAGTGTTTCTCCAAACTTCTTCAATAATACTGACTCGATTTCGGCATCATTCAAGTCATTTCCTTTGATCCCACAAGTGTATGAAGTAATATGTTTGTTAGGGTCCGTTGTCCCGTTGTACTTCGGTATATCAGGCATGCGAAACTTCTTGGAAATGGGCTTCGGAACCGCACTCGAGGGGAAAAGTTTTTGTATGAATTTTTTGGCATCTAGTCCCTTCAAAATTGGAGGTGCTCCCGGTATTTGGTCCACCCGGGAGTCGTAATTTTCTACCTTTTTATCGTTGTCTTCTATCCTCTTTTCTCCTGACTCAATTCATGTAGTCAATTCCTCGAGCATTTTCATGATTGTGGGGTCAGTCCCCGAGCCGCTTTCATCGGGCCTTTCAAGCACATGTTCGTGCTGTGTGTTTACTGGTTCGGCGGTGTTAGGAGTCCTATTCTGACTCTGAAGCTGAGCGATGGCGACTTGCTGAGCTTGCAGTATCTCGAATATCACCTGGAGGCCGACTCCTCCTTCTTCCTATCCTCGTGCTTCATGGCCTCCAGCCTGGGATTCCCTGCGTCCATTCCTTACGGGGTCTGTGCTTGCTTCCGTGTTTAGAGCGTTGTGGGAGATGATATCAATTGGCTCCACGTTTGGCACTCCCTCAGGGTTTACAGGTGGTACACCGAGCCCTATGCCCGCTGTTTTCTCCAAGTTCTTAAGTGTCATGAGCAGGTGCATTTTGTGTGCTAGACATATTTTGGCCTGAAATCAAAAAATCTTTGACAAGAAAAAGTGTGAAGAATAACGTATGTTATCAGAAAAATAGCACTAAAATAATCACTATTATCTTTAGCCCTACGGTGGACGCCAAACTCTTTACCTCGAAAAATGTGTGTAACAATTAAAGATAATTTGTGGTTTTAAAGATACGTGATATATTCTAATACTAGTATTAAATAGGTAATATTGAGCTTAAGTGAGAAGAAATAATGAACCAAATCAATGATGCTTAAACAGTAGGGGCCTCGAGTTCGTCTATCTAGGGACCTCGAGGTCAGCTAAGACCAAAAAGGTATGAACAATAAAGTAAATGCAATAAAGCTGAAGAGTAGTTGCTGAGCACGTTAAACAAGAAAATAATAAGAATGTTCTATTGTTGTGAATAATCTGATCTTTACAAAATGATTGTGGTCCCCTTTATATAGGAGGAGAAAACCCCAATATAGTACCTTGCTCATAGAGGTAAAGAATCCTATTGGTACAGGTGTATGACGGTCTAGTAAGGACCTGTACTCTTTTGTACATCCTTTATCCTATAATTAATGTCCAAATCCACGTATCCTTGAGAAATTCCCGCTCTTTCTTAATTAACTTCGAGATTATGCTGTCTTCGACGCAGGCCGTGTCAGGCCTTTGATCAGCTTCCTCGAGGTAGGTGTCCCTTAGCCTGCCCCACGCCTCGAGTCTCCCAGACTTGAGCCCATACCCTGGTTTAAGACTCCAAAATCATACTCCTCGATTTTGACCGTATACAATATTTAAAAATGATAATGATAATTTAGTTTGAATATATTTTTGCTTGATACAGGAAATGACTTGGATGCTTTAGTAAATAATGTGCCTGGAATGGAAGGTGTGATCAGGCGCCGAGACCTGCCCAGTTTCTGCCGTGCACCTGACCTTAATAACCCCACTATCCAACGTATTGTCAAGGAGGGGAAACATATTGTCCAAGCCCAAGGTCTAATATTCAACACATTTGAGGGCCTTGAAGGGCCCATTCTCCCACAATTCCGAACTCTGTGTCCAAACATCTACTCCATTGGGCCTCTCCACATTCACCTGAAGAAAAGTCTATCTTCGAAATGTAGTGTGCCAAAGACATCAACATCCAACAGTATCTGGAAAGAGGATATGAGTTGTATGGATTGGCTCGACGAGCAGCCGAACAAATCAGTTCTATTTGTCAGCATTGGAAGTGTTGCAACCATGAGCAAGGCCCAATTGTTGGAAATTTGGTATGGTTTGGTGAACAGTAAGACTCGGTTCTTGTGGGTTCAAAGGCCTGGTTCAGTGATTGGGCTTGAAGAGAACAACGATATTCCCATGGAATTGTCTAAATATACAAAGGAAAGGGGTTGTATTGTTAGTTGGGCTCCACAAGAAGAAGTTTTGGCTCACCCATCAATTGGTGGGTTTTTAACCCATTGTGGATGGAACTCAACTTTGGAAAGTATAGTAGAGGGAGTGCCTATGATTTGTTGGCCTTACTTTGTTGATCAACAAGTGAACAGTAGATATGTTGGGGAGGTGTGGAAGCTTGGGTTAGACATGAAAGATGTATGTGATAGAGCCATAGTTGAGAAGATGGTTAGAGAAATTATGGAAGTGAGGAAAATTGAATTTTTGGAAAGGGGAAGGGAGATGAGAAAGTTGGCAATAGAAAGTGTTAATGAAGGTGGCTCTTCGTACAAAGATTTGGACAGTTTGGTTGAGGATATTAGGCTGATGAGGATATAACCCTCTTATGGATCTAGAATTCTTTGGGCTCTTCATGGTGCCCGGCTACTCTTCTTTCATTTGGTGCATAAACAGTGTTGAATATGACTTGAATTCTCTTTGTTTAAAATTACAAACTCTTAGTGTATGTTTGGTACGAAGGAAAATATTTTTCGGAATTTTTTTTCTTTCAATTTTTCCATGTTTGGTTGGCTTAAATATTTTGGAAAACATTTTCGTGATGACCTCATTTTTCTCCGATTGAGAAAAATATTTTCCTTATCAAGAAAAGGGAAAACATTTTCCTAAACTCCTTCTCAACACTCCCCGCCCCACCCACACCACCCCACCTCTTCTCTCGAAAAAGGTTTTTTTTTAATTTTATAATTTTTTCGTCACCACCTACCCTGCTATCCCATCTCCTCCTTCCCTCCCCTCCCCCTCTAAAAAAAATATATTTTTTTACTTTTTTTTTTTGTAATTTCAAATTATTGTTTTTTCGTTTTTCTGCATGGCTGCACCCCCACTCCAATGCGCCCCCCCGCACAATTTTTTTTTTACTTTTTGTTTCGTAATTTCAAATTTTTATTTTTTATTTTTTTTGCACACCCCCTACCCCCCTCCCGAAGAAAATTTTTTTTTATATATTTTCAGTTTTAGTTTTTTCATCTTTCGGTTTACAGGTTCGAAATTTTATTAGTTCTAAAATTATGAGTTCAGAGGTTTATGTGTTTAGAAGTTTACGGGTTCGAAAGTTTGCGGTTTTGAAAGTTTAACGGTTCGGAAATTTATGAAAATTCTGAGTTCAGAAGTTTGTTGGTTCGAAAGTTTATGGTTTCATATTTATTGTATCTAAATTATTTATGAATACTCTTGAGAAGTTATTTTCCTTAATTTGCGTACCAAATACCGGAAAATAAAGTTATTACTTGTTTTTTCAAATATTTTCTTGAAAATATTTTAAAGGAAAACTTTTCCGTTATACCAAACACACCCTTAAAAGGGATAATTTGATGGCTTTCGTTTATTTATTTTTTTTTTTTTGACCGATTTGTTATTCTTAAGGTAGTCTGTACCCAGTCCAATAATCTATTCTTTATTTTGTCACAGTACTCAAACACCCATCGCATAAACAGGGACAAGATAGTAATATATATATTTTCGGATATGAGTGTTGCATCATCTATATTTAGGCTGTGGCTGATCATTTGATTTATGACTGGCTCTCCGTCCAAGTGTTATTGGCAAAACGTGGAATATGAAACTATTTCACAATATTATTCAATTATTATCACGAGGGTCATTACGACGACTCTTGTAAAAAATCCAATAATGTAAAAGAGAGTGGGAAATTTTGAAAAATGCTGAATGGTAAATAAGTCTGATTTTTCACCGTTGAAAGTTGTTTCAATTATCTCTCAGGTGGAAGTAAGTTATATATCAGGAGACCACAGCTATAGAAGGAAGTGAATCAGCCACAAGTATAAGAAAAATATATTGGTTAAAGAGAATCCTCAAATTATTGAAGAAAATGTATATGGTGTTGCCAATAAAAACTTGTCCACACGACAATGTTTATATTAGTGGTGGTAAAATGGTTAAAAAAAAACAGTTAACCATCCATATTATTCACTAAAATATGAGTTGGATAATGAACTTTTTAAAAATGGGTCAAATATGAATAAAAACCACATTATTCATTTAGAAAATGGATAAACATTGAGTTTAGCTTTAACATTTGTAAACTTCAAATTGGGGGTTAATCAAGTTTGGAAGCTTAGGAATTCTCCAAGAAGTGATCCTATTCAAGAAGTCATAGATAATATGGTTACTCATATTATCCGCCGATTAACCCGTTTTTTATTCGTATTAAATATCGGTTGGATCGGATAATTTATCCATTTTTTCATTACATATTTTCAACCCGAACTATATCCGATCCGATCCGCCCGTTTGTCACTCCTAATTTACACCAAATAAATAGATCCATGAGTGGGCATGACATGTGTTTGTACGGGGTCTGAAGTGATAATTCTTCTCAAGTTCTCACCCTACGGTAGGATTACATGATTCCCATATTAGCGGGGCTTCTCCAGTGAATTTTTTTGTTGATAGACATGAAACAAAAATTTATACTGTTGTGCAGACACAAAGGAAAAATACTTCGGTGAGTACGTATGTGTGACTAATAGTGCTTATTGCTAAAGTGTGTCCTTTTATCTAACGATCCAATAGGTCGTTTTGAGTACTAGCTTTTTTTTCAATATTTCGAGACTTCTCATAATTTTATTTGATAATTTATGACTTGTATCGTGGTCTGTGTCGGATTCCAAAAAAGATTATATGTAAAATTTTAAAAAAAATGTGATTTTTGACTTTAAAAATAATTATAGTTGACCACGGTGAACTTTTTTTGTAAACGACCTCGGATAAGTATTTTGATGATTTTGGTAGGTTGGTATAATGATTTTGCACTTGTACGCATGTTTGGCTGGGGTCCTGGGTGACCCGAGGCTATTTCCGCGCATTATGTGAAAACATGGAAAAATGAGTTTTTGTCACGGCGTAAAATCCGTCTAATCGTGATGACACCTAACCCAACCCACTAGGTAAGCTAAGTAACATTCAAAATAACCCAAATGAGAATAATAAGAGTAATTGAGAGAAATAACTGGATTTTTAAGTAAAATCTCAAGAATTAGTAGTACAAATCACGAGCTTATAAGACTTAGAATTTACAAAGCTGGTATGAAATAAATACATCATATGCTCGAAATATACATAAGCAGATTTGCAAATCTAGAGTTACCAAGGACAAGTGACAGCTATATCCGGAACGCAGGTACATCTTCAATCTCAGCTCCCGCCATACACAGCAACATCAGCTCCCAAGATCTGCACGCAAGGTGAAGAGGTGTAGTATGAGTACAACCGACCCAATATACTCAATAGGTAATAAACCTAACCTTAAGTTGAAAGCATTGACGAGTTTGGAAGATGGTTAATGTTTAACACCAATAGCCAATAACAATTCGTAGTAATATAATGTGGACAATAATGGTAAATAAGTCAAGAGATATATGCTCAACTCATTCACAGTTACAAAAAAATAGATATACTTTTCAAGTATAACAGTCAAAGTCCAAGTCTTACCACTGAAAATCAACTAAACATGAGTTTATTAACAGAACTGTGTTATTCCAATTTTCCAACCTCAGATAAGAGTTTTCATTTATCAGTTAACATAAGGAAAAAGACATCTCTATGCCTATGTACGCGGCAAAATCAGAAGATTTGATTTCTCGCTGTCAAGTCATTTCGGAAGCATGCCTAGGGACCCCGAGGACGGGAGGCCACGACCGAGTTCCCAACCTCGGGGGTCGAAGCCCGACTCAGAAAACACGGAGATCGAAGCCAGGACAAAGGGGGGACCTCCCAAGGTACACGACAAAGCCTGATAGGGCCGGCCTATCCACAGCCTATGTTGAGGCATCACGGCAAGCCATCCCATCTCCATATTTTGTAATTAATCTCCACATACTTGTAGCCGAGTCCCCCCTCCTATATAAAAGGGACTCACCTACCTTGTAAAGGACGGAGGTTGCTCCATTTTCTCCTTAAGTACAATAATATCTCTGTCTCTCTTTTCTTTCTAGCTTGCTCGTTCTCACTGGCCCGAGGCCGCTTTAATATCTATCATCCTCTTACTTGTTCTTTGCTATATTGCTCAATATCGGTCGTAACGAGCCTTGCTTAATCGTATCCTCAATTGTTATCCCATTCCCGGCTGACTCCAATAGCTCGAGCTCGACCCGAACCTGGACCCCGAGGTCCCCATCGATCAGCCCTGCATTCGGGCAACATGCCCCTCGGTTTGACTACTACCTCGTTTTAGCCTGCATTTCATCGCTAAACTTAAAATTATTAGAATCAACTTACCTAACAACTAGCTCGAAAATAGATCACGTATTTTTAGAATCCCATTTACAAATTCAATTGTTGTTACCATTTTAACGGTAAACAGTTTGGCGCCCACCGAGGGGCTAAAAATAATAGTGATTATTTTCTTGCTGGTTTCATTATACAAATACACATTATCTTTCACACTTATTTTGGTCTAACATCCTTTGATTTCATTATAAAATGTCTGGCTCGGTAAACGAAGTTGAAAACGACAACCTCGAAAACCACGGGGAAAATGGCGTGGTTGTCCCGGCTGCTGGAGCAGCTCCACAGAATCCTGATATCCTGCCCAGACCGACCCTAGCAGACGCAGATTTGCAGGACGCACAACAAGTCGACGAAACTTCTCACACCAACAGGAGCATACGACACGGCGATCAGCAGGAAGCTCAAAAAACCCCAGCCGGGAAGAACAAGAAGTTAGTCTTCATGTTATTTTTGAAATGTTGTAGGCACATCAATTGGCCATTGCTCAGTTGCAAAGCCACCCGAGAACCCCCAACATAACGGCACCGGAGACAGCTCCCCCCGCTGGGCGAGTACTCGAAAGGTCAAGCAACAACGGGCCAGTGGCTGACCTCGCCATAGTAAAGATGCTCGAGGATTTCACCAGGAGGATCGAATCAGGTGAAAGAATGATTGCAGTCAACGATAAAAAGGTCGAGACCTACAACTCTAGGGTCGATCAGATCCCAGGTGCGCCCCCGATCCTCAAGGGGTTGGATTCAAAGAAGTTCATTTAGAGGCCGTTCCCCGAGGAAGCGGCCTCGAAGCCCATCCCAAAAAAGTTTAGAATGCCGGAACTCCCTAAGTACAACGGCACCTCCGACCCTAATGAACACATCACTGCCTACACCTGCGCAGTAAAATGCAACGACATAAAGAATGACGAGATTGAGTTCGTATTGTTGAAAATATTCGGAGAAACACTTTCAAAGGGGGCCATGATGTGGTATCACAACTTGGCTCCCAATTCCATAGATTCGTTCGCCATGCTAGTAGGCTCTTTCGTAAAAGCACATGTCGGAGCTATCAAGGTAGCAACAAGGAAATCCGACGTGTTCAAAATTAAACAGAGAGAGAACGATATGCTACGGGAATTCGTATCCCGCTTCTAGATGGAACGGATAGAGCTGCTACCAGTCTCCGACGACTGGGTAATGCAGGCCTTCACCCAAGGCCTGAACGAACGAAGCTTGGTGGCTTCGAAGCAGTTGAAGCAGAACCTGAT